CAGGGCTCTCACATTATTCTTCCTCATGCCCTAGCCACGCCAGCCAAGCTGGCCATTTGCAATTTCCTACACATGACGCTCTACGTCCTGCCACCCTTTGCAGAGGCTGTCCCCCGTGTCTGGATGGCCTTCATTTCCACCCCAGCTTCTTTCAGCTCAAGTGCCGCAACTCAGAGGGTTTTTTCTGACAGCACCAGTTTTGACATTTCCTCCTCCTCCTCCTCCACTTTCTCCCTGAAATTGCTTTGTATATACTGTCTATTTCTCTTACTGATGCCCAGGGTTGTTTCCTTTGGTTTTCGTATGCCCCATGTGCAGCCTGGTAACCTGCACTTGGTGAGCTCTTGCCAAACTGAGTATTTGTGGACACGTTCATTGGGCATGCACAGCCCGCTCTCCCCCAGCAGGGGGCCTCCTATGCACGTAGCACCAGCACAACCACTTCCTTAAGGGATGTACTGAGAGACCTAGGCTGGTTACTAATTACTAACCCCTGATTACTAATGCGAGCAAGGCATGAAGGAAATGGGGTGGGGAGGGTTGCTACCACCACCGGGGTTGTTCCAGGGCAGGAGGGATTCCCTACAAAAATGGGGTCCTTGTGCTGACTGCACCAGACCTACACGAGAGCTCCCGCTGTTCACCAGAGCTTGGCCATGGTGACTGACCCCATAGACCACCCACACGGACAGTCTCACGACGTCCACTCCAGCAGTGAACAACAGCATTTACTGCAGGTCTCTGTAGCTCCCCTGGAGTTGGTGTTAGAAATCACAAGAGCTAATAAGCAGCCTGCTGGCCTTCCACTGCAGTTTTGTCTAGGTCTATAAATTCAGGGTTTGAGATTGAGAGAGGGATGTTTGCTTTAGGATGGGGCTGAATAGATCAGATTTTTCTCAGTTTGGTGGTTTCTAAGAATATTCCAAAACTTATCCACTAGACTGGTTTTGAATCCCAAGAGAAAATGTGTAAGGACATGAGTGCTAGAGAGATGGGTGCATCGGGCAGCCATAATAACTGAGGAGCGATTCTGACCGGTTCCTCATTGGGATTCACAAGCAAGGCTCTTATGCTGTGCTTGTGAACAAGATGGAAAGATGTCAGCTAGATGAAAGGATAGTTATGTGGCTACAGATAGGTGGCTAAATGACTGGACCCCCAAAGAAGCCATTAAAGGGTCAATGCCAACCCATAAAGAGGCCTCTGTTCTTGGTACTGGGCTAGAAGGTGAAACCTCAGGGTTGTTTCTTCTGTTGTTTCTAGTGTGAGGGTCTGCCTGCCCCTGGTGGTTTTCCTCTTGCTTTTCTTACCCTGCCATGGTTTTCCATTGTGTTGGAACTCTTCCTTCAATTTTCTTTGAGGATTTGGGCCTTTCTCTTGCAGATTTCCAGGGGGACCCCCGGAGAAGCCAACTCCCTCACAAACTACAAGGGTAGGAGTTTAGATCCACAAATTTACCAAATGGGTTTCCTTTTATTTATTCTCCTGTAAGGGCAGAGCTGATGATGTCCTCAACCTCATCCCCTGACCCACACTTAAAGCCAAAAGTAAGACCCAGGATTTTAACCAGGAGAAAATGATCAATCTCAATGTTATGCCTCATTTTCAGCCAATCGTTCATTAAAAGTCCCTGGAACTATAATGAAGTGCAAAGAATTATGTTTGGATAGGCTAAGGAGACTTGGTCATAGCCTCAGGGTCATTTATAACTGAGGAAGATAGTCTGAACTTGACTCATTCAGAGATTGGAGTAATGACAATTCTACCTAAGTTAATTTACTTATTCAGTGCCATGCCAATCAAACTACCAAAAATGATTTTATGGAGCTAGAAAAATAATAATATGATTCGTCTGGAATAACAAAAGGTCCAGAATATCAAGGGAACTAATGAAAAGAAATGCAGGGGAAGGTGGCCTAGCCATTCCAGATCTTAAATTGTATTATGAACCAGCAATCATCAAAACTGCTTGGTATTGGCTAAGAAATAGAGCGGTGGATCAGTGGAATAGGTTAGGTACACAAGACACAGTACTCAGTGACTATGGTAATCTACTATTTGATAAACCCAAAGACCCTAGCTTCTAGGATAAGAACTCACTATTTATCAAAAACTGCTGGGAAAACTGGAAAAGAATATGGCAGAAACTAGGCACAGACCAAAATCTCACACCATATACCAAAATAAAGTCAAAATGGGTTCATGATTTAGATAAAAAGGCTGATACTGTAAGCAAACTGGGAGAGCAAGAAATAGTTCATCTGTCAGATGTATGGAGAACAGAAGAATTCATGACCAAACAGGAGATAGAGAACATTACGAAAAGCAAAATGGATCATTTTGATTACACCAAATTGAAAAGTTTTTGTACAAACAAAGCCAATGCAACCAAGATTAGGAGGGAAGCAGAAAACTGGGAAAGAATTTTTACAACCAGTATCTCTGATAAGGGCCTCTTTTCTAAAATACAGAGAACTAAGGCAAATTTATAAGAATACAAGTCATTCTCCAACTGATAAATGGTCAAAGGATAAGAACAGGCAGTTTTCAGATGAAGAAATTAAAGCCATTTATAGTCATATGAAAAAATGCCCTAAATCACTATTGATTAGAGAAATGCAAATCAAAACAACTCTGAGGTACCACATCACACCTATCAGATTGGCCAACATGACAAAACAGGAAAATGATAAATGTTGGAGAAGATGTGGGAAAATTGGACCACTGATGCATTGTTGGTGGAGTTGTGAAATGATCCAACCATTTTGGAGAGCAATTTGGAACTATGCCCAAAGGGCTATAAAAATATGCATACTCTTTGACCCAGCGATAGCGCTTCTAGGGCTGTATCCCAAAGAGATCATACAAATGGGAAAAGGACCCACATGTACAAAAATATTTATAGTAGCTCTTTTTGTGGTGGCAAAGAATTAGAAATTGAGAGGATGCCCATCAACTGGGGAATGGCTGAGCAAGTTGTGGTATATGAACGTAATGGAATACTATTGTACTATAAGAAATGATGAGCAGGCTGACTTCAGAAAAACCTGGAAAGACTTGTATGGTCTGATGCTGAGTGAAGTGAGCAGAACCAGGAGAACGTTGTACACAGTAACAGCCACACTGTGTGATTACTAACTTTGATGGACTTAGCCCTTCTCAGCAAAGCAAGGAACTAAGACATCTCCAAAGGCCTCATGATGGAAAATGCTATCCACAAAGAAGAAAGAACTATGGAGTTTAAATGCAGATGGAAGCGTACTATTTGCTTTTTTTTCTTCTGTTTTGTTTTGTTTCGTCTTTCTGGTGGTTCCTCCTATTGGTTCTAATTCTTACCCACAACATCACTAATGTGAAAATGTTTAATAGAAATATATATGTAGAGCTTATATCAAATTATGTGCCATCTTGGGGAGGGAGGGAGGGAGGGAGGGGGAGAAAAATTTAAATCTCAAAAGCCAATGGAAGTGATTGTTGAAGACTAAAAATAAATTACTTTAAAAAGAATCTTCAGAGCTTCTATAGGTACCACTGCATTCCCTGTGGAGCCTTGGGTGAGCACCCCAGTTCTAGGATTGGAAGTTTCGGTGGAAGAGCCCATGTTGTCCATCTCTTGGTTTTATGGAGACCTTATTTTTGGGTCTGTCTTCATGCAGGAGCCCCCCTCCCCCAGCCCCTTAGGAGATGGAGTCAGGTTTCTTGTCAGACCTCCCCAGAGTCACTGGCCCCTCTGTTCTGCAACTGGCCTGCAGACCCTGATGGGCCTAGCCTGTTGCAGCTCAGAACTCCCAAGCTCAAGGGATCTACCAGCCCAGCACCCTGTCACTGCCACTACCACACCAGCTCAGCCCGGTGCTTCACGCAGAATACCTCTCCAAACTTATTAATACTCACTTAGCCAAAGTGACCTCCTAGCTGTGCTCTGGACTCTGTCCCCCTTCTCCCCCCTCCATGCCTTTGCCCACGCTGTGCTCCATGCCTGAAATGCTCCACCTCCTTGGGGTCCCTGGCTTCCTTCAGGGCTCAGCTCACAGGAGGCTTTTTGTAGACAGAGCTTTCCTGATCTACTCCCTCCCCGATCACCATGTAATGTGTAACTGTGTCCATATGTATGCCCACCCCGACCCAGAATGTAAGCTCCTTGAGGGCAGGGAATATTTTTTACTTTCTTTGTGTGTTTGGTGGCTAGCCCAGTGCCTCACACAGAAGAGGCCCTAAGTCCGGCTATCTGCTCCGGGGATGAGCCTCTCCTGCCTCTGGGGGCGACCCTTCCTAACTCCCCAGCTCAGCCTGGCCATGCCAGGGGAGGGCCAGACACAGACCAAAACTAGAGGTTGTTTATTAGAATGATCCCACAATCCATCTCAGAACAGCCCTTACCCCTCCTGCCCCTGGAGCTTTGCTAACCAGGGCAGGGGCCTGGGGCCAGCCGGAGCCCAGGGGCTGCCTTTGCCTGGCACGCTCTCTACACCAGGCCCAGGAGAAGGGCTCGACAGCTCATGCCTCTTCTCCAGTCAGCGCTGGAGTTGCGGGTGGGGGCCCAGAGGGTAGCGCGAGCCCTCCATCACCAGCCCCCTCGAGTGGCACAGACCAGCCAGGCTGTGGCTCTGTCCATCCAGACGTCCAAGCCTCTGGGAAGGTAGGGAAGATTGTCTCTTCTGAACTTTTCAGGTTTTCAAAAGGGGTCAGCCACATAGCTGGGCACAGCTCAGGTGGGGGTGGGGGGGGACGGCTCAATGAATGTTTTAGGACAGAGCAGCCTTGGAATGGGACCCAGCTTCTGCCCCAGAGGGGACGCAGGGTTGGGGGCAAGGGGATGTGTGTCTTCATGGACACTCCAGCACACTTGGGGGGCTAGGTATGCATGGGCTTCTCTGTGCATGCATGATTTGTGGGTGAGCATGGACAAGAGCGTGCATGGTATAAGAGTGTGTGTGTGTGTGTGTGTGTGTGTGTGTGTGTGTGTGTGTGTGTG